CTCCAATATAATGGATTTGTTGACATGCGCCATGTAGGGCGACAAAACGAATTAATCGAGCAAACGAGGGCCAAGGAGCCCAGACCTGAAATAGCAGCTCCGATATTTCCACAAAGCTAGCTTTGATTTATTGTGCCAGAAGATGACGTTGCATAGAGATTGTAAAGGCTTCTGTTATCTTGTTTTTTCGTTCCGCGTTATGCCACTTGACGCATAGGTCTCGTCTTTCTGTCCCGTAAGCCTGGACAGTTTATGTCTATACATTAACTACATGTTTTATGATATCTGAATAGCTTCTACTAGCTGTCCGCCCACCCGGACGATAAGTCTAGAATACTACATTCGTGATGTGGTTGATCATTACATTAAATATCGTTGCTGCGATGTGGAAAGCGTTGAAAGAGTTGAATTGCTTTTCGCTAAGGTATTTGAACTGTTAATTGCATGTCATTGGTATTGCATAATATGGTTCATGTATACTGGGAATCCATGGCCATGTCCTTTCATACCTATAATATGGTAATACATAGCGTGAAGACCTCAGCCTGCCATGTGAGGTTTGATCTTCCCAAATTCGAGAGGACAACAAAAAACAATCATGTCTCGGCCATACCATCAACAAGACGGCGCATAGTGCTGGCCACGACTCAGACAAGACATTGCATTATCACCGGCGACCGCATGTGTCAATGGAGAAAATCGACGTACACTCTCCACCTGAGACGTGCCAGCTTGTTCAACAATCTGGCGTCGCCAAAGCACACCTCCCGTAGGTCCCAGCTTTTGCCTAGTTTTTGTCCAGTTCGCTTCCAGCTCTTGTCTTTTAATCATTCTTGAACTTCAATGCAACCAGAAGAGAACACGACACAGTCGCTTGTGTATGCCATAATCACTTCGCTCGCCCACTGCAGTCGTCGCTGAAGCTCGAGTTTTGCGGTTAAGCATTGTTCAAACTGATGGCTCGTATTACACAAGTTTGTGATACTACGCTCGGTTTCCGTACGAGTACGGCACTCTTCGAAGATGGCCATATCGAAGTCTCTGGAAGACTTTGACAAACAACGGCAAAAACATGGTCGATCAAAGACCGACTGCGGTCGGTCTTGTACAACTATGTCGGACTCCTTTATCGGCTCCTGCCATTTCAAAGTCGAAGGGACGTGAGCCCAAGCGCAGTCATCTACTAGTTGGTGTTAGAACGAAGTTTTCTAAGAGAAAATCTCACTAGACCTGAATTATTCCAAAGCACACGGTGTATTTCAACCGCTTCTGACAGTGCTTGTGCAGTTAACCCATAAGTGATTGGCTTTGGATGACAAACTCCTTGACTGCTTGATCTTGTTCCTAACGATGTCCCTTTCTTTTAAGCTTTATGTGCAATGTGGATGACTGAGTCTTGTCGTGGAGAGAATGCCATTGCGGACGAAAAACTTAGTGAAAAGTAGAACGTTTGCGGAGTCTGCTTTCAGGGATAAAAATACACCGTTAAGTGTGGGGCAGAGGTTTGTCCTACACTTGAATCAATCCATACTTACTAGTGTGGCAACAAGAGGACTTACGGAAATAGAAATCTCATGGCACGTAGGCTCTTTCAAGAACTTTAGCAACGACGGAATATCGCAAGCACTGCTAACTTCCTCACCATTAATATTCCAGTTACTTTAAAAGCACTACGGCGATCAAGTATTGAAGAAAGGCCCGTTTACACAAGGAATGGAAATAACGTCATAGCACAAGAATCGGGTGAGACATCCGAACATGTGTCTACCCTCTACATTATATGCAACTGTGATTATTTCAGTCCACAAAAGTGTTCTGCTCATTGTGTTGAATTCGAAGCTCTAGTGCGCCCAACATCCCCGGTTAAGGTGGTCAGCGAGCCAGATGGCTTTCTGATTCGCAACTTGCGCGGTGGCTGGGAGGGGCCGATTTGACCGCGCAGTCGCCGATGGCGAAGAAAAAAGGGAGACAGCGCTCTGGGGAAGGCGATCGTGATGACTGTGGTGAACTTGTCCCAACCTGGTAGAACATTCAGGTTGGGATGGAGAAGCTGGAGACGAGGACACCGCAGCGGTTCGGACTCGGAGATGCTCATCCGTGAGGAGGCATCCAGTCTTAGGATCCTTTAGCACTCTGAAAGGTCCTCGCTGCGCCGAGCTACTCGAATCGGCAGAGTAAGCGAATACTTGATCCGTCAAGTGCTGGACAAACGGGTTCTGCATAAGGCCAGTACTCCAGACTACTGTCCCAACACCGATTTCTTTGTCCGCAACCTCCTTAATCTTCAGTTTAAAGCTGCCTTGAATATCGTCGTCGGGACGGATGGACTGGATATGATGCGCTGTCTTCACCTCAATGCCTTCGCGGGCGAATCTATCCAAAGCGTAATTTGAGAGTTGCTTGTCGAACATTGGAAGCAGCGTTGGTAGGAGTCAACTCCCATGCTCCCGCTCCCGCTCCTTGATGATATTACTAGGAGCGAGCGCTCGAGCGCACTCCTCAAGTGCTCCTAGGCTAACCTAAAAGGGTTTAGCGCTACGGATTAATAATCATCCAGCCGGATTATCTATTATTCCGTCGCCAAATCCAACGTCCAACACACCGTTATCCAACCAGTGTTTATAGCAAAGAGACGCCTCAAGAGCCTCAGTTGACAATCGATTCCTGTCGATCGTGATAAGTCTGCGTGCTTGAGAAAAGCCTCTTTCGATCTCTGCTGACATTGCAGGCATGGAAAGAGTGTCAAATGCCCACTGACGCAGACTAATCGGACCCTCCTCGAGCCACCATTTGAATAAGTTACTCCCTTGCTTGCGACTACGGTACCTCGTCAATTGGCCCTCCGTGTACTCAGTAAATTCATCAAGAGGTGTGGCTTCTAGCCCCTGGATGTCCATATAATAGGAGTCGATTACTGACGGAGAATCAAGAGGAGGATTATTTGGTGCGATTACGGGGTAATTCTCCTCCCAATACTTCCTGTTTATTGAGAGCATTTTATCAATGTACTGCTCTGCGGGTCCTGTCCACGAGCGCGTGAACCATTGCATCCTGAGGTAAGGATTCGAGAGAGTCGCCGCGGCATAAATCTCATGGTTATCGTTTGTAAGTCGATTATATTTTGTGGGCTTTTGCCAGGCATTTTGATAGCAAATCAGCAGAGGATTGACACGCATTTGATTTCGGTTTTGACGTCGTCGATTCGCAGACGTAGGCTCGTGCGTCTGCGTCTGCGCCACTTGTTCCTCCTCTAGTCGAGTCTTTTCTCTCTCAGTGAGATTCATAAGGTAATCGATCATTGGGAGAGCCTCCCAAATGACTCCGTGAGTGCCATTCTCTGCGTGACCCTCTAATCTTTTTGTGATAAACAAGAAAGGCTCCAAAGCGTCAGAAACCGCCTTTAAAACCTCCCAAACCTCCTCTGATAATAGGTCATTTGGCAGCGCACTTTGGAAGTCGATGAGGAAAAGCTGAATTGCACGCTTCAATTTGAGGCCTCTCGCAAGCGCAGAGTAAGTGGAATTCCAACGCGTGCAGTTGTCAAGGATCACTGTTAACTCACTGGTGAAATCAACAGGATCTCCTCTTTCTTTTGCCTCATTTATAACCATTTGAACTGCTTTCTTGAAGACCTGACGGCGTTGCGGAGAGGCTCGAATAAAGACGACAATATTGTGATATTTGCCAATGGGTCCTCGCGAGCGCCACTGAGCCTGTTCCTCTGCCAAATTAAGCTCTTCTTGTCCTCTTCTCGCATCTCTCTGTGTGGCTAATATTACCTGATCTTCCCAGGCCTCGAAGTCAGCTCCGTGGATAAAGGCTTTTGCGGCTAGATTGATGATATAACCAAGACAACGCCTTCGACGCAGTCTAGGAGTCTCATTTGGTCTCAATCGCCTCACAATTACGTCAATTGCGGTGTCTATATTGCCTGCGTTATCGCCGACGAAAATGCCAATGTTCTCATCCAGTTTAAGCTCTCGCATCACCGCTATTATATGTTGCAAGCTTACGAAGCCCTCGCGTACGAAGGATGGTGGGCATGACTCGATATTCTGGCCGCTACCGGACAAGGACTAGAGAAGGAGGAGCCCTAAGATCGAGAAGGTTGTTGGTACGGTTCAGCTCGTTGATCACATCTTCGGACATTTTGGCTGGGTTGGACTTGCAAGAATGCTGCTATTGGCTCTTTCTCATGCCCGCCACCGCTAGGGCCGTACGCTTATTCTGTATGGGTTAATATGGTTGTTGAAAGTGGCATGATCCGGGGTTTGAGAGGAGGTTATAAGCCATGGAGGGCGCTCAATGGATGGAAGCAGTTACTTGACAATCTTTGTCACGAAGTGTCGTCTTTTGCACATGTCCATTATTTTACGTCTGTGGCCCTTTTCCAGGTCGTCCCGAAATGTCATTCACGTGACGGCACGTGTCGGACTCTCTACTCGTCGTTGACCTTGCTGTAGTCAATTAATAGGTTTAAGCATGCTTAGATTGCTGACCAGATGGAGATGGTAACATTGCATAAGTGACGGTAGCTATGGATGATGAAGGTTAAGTACGAACCTAGTGTATATAGGAATAGAGATTTGATATACCGTTGGAAAGCGGGAAGATGAAACATGTTGTCAATCATATAATGAAATCCCGTTTATTCTAACTTCTAGACATTAATTTCTTCTTACCATTCACCTATAATATTTGTGGATTTTTCAAGAGCTTCCCATCGTCGGAAAGATAAAGTATCGATTTGATGGGGGGCATGGGGCGTAACATGTCGGATAAAAATGTCCCAATCGTACAACATCTGTACATGGACCGGTGAACTGAAAGATTGTTCCGGTCATATATAAAGCAAAAACTGCCAACGAGGGTATAATAATGACGATAAAGACCGCAAGATGTTGAGCAAATGGGGAGACAAGCAATCCTTTCGCCAGGGTTTGTGGATCTTTCAAGTCGAATTTGCCAGAGTTCCAACAATGTCCCTGACGACACAGATCTCAGACTGTAGGAGCAGCCGCAGCATTCTCAGCACACGGAGCAGCATGATGATGAGAATGCACACCAGGTGCACCATCATGCCCGGTATTCGGCAGATCACGCTTCTCACGCTCCGCAGAGCTCAGGCCCTCATCACCGATCTCGTGGATCCGCAACCCCAACCTCGCGGGATCGATATTCCAATGTCCCCAGATGAGCGCAGCGGAGAAACATGGCTTGGCCAGGACATCGAGGATGCCGTAGAAGATGCCCTCGCTGTCGGGTGCGATGACATTGCCGCCCTCACTCAAGCCCCATGCGATCGGGTACAGCACCCAGACGACGAGCGTGAGCACGCCGCAGCTGACGTACACGCGGTGGACATCTTTGCCGAGCGCGAGGGCGTGGCGGCGCGCGACAAAGCCGAGTTCGTAGAAGATGTATAACATTGCGGCGCATCCGAACGTGTAGAAGCCCCACTTGTAGCGGCTGCGCACTAGGGCGCCGAGAAGACCAGTCACGATCATTAGTTCGTCGAGTCCGATTACCCAGAGGATCGAGGGCCATGGCATCCCGGCGGTGAGGAGCAGGTCGGTGAGCAGGAGCGGTGTCGTGATGACCCTGGATCAGAGTGTTAGCTATTGTGCTCAAGTATTGCAACATGGGTTGTGTGACAAGGCTCACCAATCGATATATCTAGCATAGAAGATCTGTCGGTTCCTGCCCGCAACCTTGGGATTGCTGCGCTGGAAGTCGACGTCGATAGGCGTCCAGCCGAGATTCGAGCCCATGGAGAAATAGGCGATGCAGGCGACAAAGCAGAGTGTGGATGAGAGGTAGAAGAAGATCCGGTCAGTGCGAGGCTTTCGCTTGCTCAGCACCATGATGGTCAGGGCGGTGGCACCCATAATCGCACACACGGCGTAGTACCAGTCGGCGCCGCGGACGGTTTGGTGGATCACCACATCCCGGTCGTTGACGCGGAAGGGGTTCACCGTGGTGGCGTCGTTGCGCCGGTCGAGTGTTGACATCGTGTGTGAGAGTGTCGGTGTGTATCTAAGGCGACAAGGTGTGTTCTTGGTGATGAGCTGACTTGACTGATAGTGGGCGAGGAGGATAGTTATACTGCCACACGAGAGCTCGATGTTGTCATCAACGGCCGGATGCGCGGACGTGCTTCAGTAGAGGAGGTTAATCATATGGTGACGTTGTTGAAAGTGATATGGTGAGAATGGTTGATAGTACGAAGTATATGGATGAAGCGGCAGAGGCGGTAGGAGACATGTGGATCCGCAAGATAAGTCCTGTAGCCTCGAACGGAAATCCTGACATGCTGGATTTCCCAATCAGCAGAGAGTTGGAACATGTGAGGTCACATAGTGTCTTCAGTAGTTGTCTTGCTCAAGAAGAGGTGGCATATTGTCATGATGAGCTCATATCTTGGAAAGCAGCTTGACGATCTTCTGCGCGTAAGCATGACTAGGATCATATTGTCATAGAATCGGCATGGTCCATGATAGATTCTGAATTGTCAAAGAGGTATTTCTAGGTCAATCTGGGGACAGTTGAGCGCACTCGGAGCAAGGAGTGAATCTCCATGAGCCCTAATCATCAACCGAAACAGCCACGGATAAAAGCTTCGAGCCTTGACTTAGCGTTATGCTGCCCTTGAATGATGCTTGATTGTCGTCATGACCATACAAGCTTGGACTAGAAGCTTGTAGCCCTTGAAGGTTCGGTATGGAAAAGTCTCTTCAGCTCTAATCCGGGATAGCTACCGGCCTGCGTGCTTGCGCAAATCCTGCAAGGCTGCGTTATCGTGTCGTCATGATCTGGGAGTAATCCGAGTCACGTGATATGGCAACGGACATTTGTTGCTGCCAAGAGCCCTATACTCCGCCGCAATAATCCACCGTACTACAATTTAACACTAGTGCAGTTGTCAGCTCGACAAGTTGTCTCAGTGACTCAGACCCTATTGGCCGCTATAGGCGGTGACTGGCGCGGGCCAATCAAAAAATT